ATGCTTTAGATTTTCTTGAATCCCAGGTAATTGACTATCTTAGTTATCTAGTGCTACTATACCAGACATACCACAAGTGGATGGTTTCAGTAAACAAAAACTTATTTTCACAGTTTAGGAGACTGGAAGTCTGAAGTCAGGGTGCCAGCGCCAAGCAAATGCTTTCTCTCTTTGCTGACGCCAGGGGAAATCCTTACGACCAAGCCTTCCAGGGTCGAATTCTTTCCCAGCGCAGGGATCCTTGAAAGGATGCACTCCGCTCCCTGTTTTTGCTTCTTGGTGGTGGAAATCCCCTCCTCTTTGCCTACTTCTCTGCCCTTTGTTCAATCTTCTTTCAAGATAAAGATGATGCAGGCCACACTCTAGGAATCAGGTCTGGAAACTGACTAAGAGTGTTGCATCTCACCCTAATCCTCTTGCAACGGACTGATCACGTCACGTTGCTGTTGTCGTCATTGTTCTCGGAGGCCCTCGAGTCTGTTCAGACTCACTGTGAGTGACCCCGTGTACAACAGAAACACCACCCAGTCCTGCACCCTCCTCACAATCATTCTTATGTTTGGACCCATTGTTGCAAATACTGTGTCAATCATTATGTAACTGCCAAACGACGGAAAATCATGGCCCAGCTAAGTTGATATATAGTTTGGGGAGACAGAATTCAATCCGTGATACTGACCTTAGCAAATTACCGCTGATCCCAAAGTAATCAGGTCTGGGCCTGATTAACAATGTTATTAACAATATACCAAATCACTATTTGTTTATTATTTCTATATAGTAGTTTTTAGACACAAATAGCATCATTCAAGGGGATGTTTTTGAAAAGAAATAAAGAAACCATTTCCCCATCTTAACAAATCCACCTACGCATAGAATATGTAACTTACAATTAAGGTGTGCATGACAGTTTTTTTCATGTTACATTATAAATATTTTCAACACTGCCGCACATACTCCATGTTAACATATCTAGTGGCTATAGTGTATATTTCACCAATTCAATGCACCATAGCTTCATCAGCCAATTTAAAATTGTCAGGCACTCGGGTGGTTTTCAGATTTCCCCACTTAGAATCAATACTGACCATGGGCATGGGCGTTCCCTATGTTTTAGAAAAGTATCTCTTGATGAATCTTTAACAATGGAATTCCTGGTTCACAAACTATGAGCACAATTATGCTTTTTCATACGTATTAAAATACATTGTGCTTTCCAAAAAGATTGTCTCAGGATAATAAG